ACAGAATAGATATCAGAGCCTTAAACAGGCTGACTTCTGCTAAATGGGTCAAACTGGGCAGAAAGTCTACAAACACATAACATCCTTATAGAATATGATGTAACACTATAGATCAACTTAGCTCAGAATATATAAAGCATATAAACAATTACAGCGATATGATGCAACAAACACAGCAGCTACTGATCCAAAATACTCAAAGCTTCATAGAACTGAAACAAACATTTATTTTTAGCTCCATTCTGCTGCTGATACATACTTTAGGTTTCTGAACATTAACCTTGTTGCTGCCTTTCATAGTGTGTAACTTGAAGGCCCTGAGTACTTTCTCCCACACTGAAAACACTGGATGATAACATTATTTGAACATTACCTAATAAGACTGATTCAGGACAGACAGTTAGTGATGTTAAACTTCCTCTCACTACCTTTTTCTTTTACCCCTGGCTTTTTGTGTTCATGTTCTGTTGTTTTGTATACTTCATCTGTTCGTATGTTGTATACTCATTGTTTGTTAAATAAAGTTAAAAAATAAATAAATAAATTTGAGGGCCGCATTTCCAGCAGCCTTCGTCGCGTCGCTGTGACGTAATCGGCCTTAAAACGCGGCCTTTAAGGCTGCAGACGCGGAACTGGGATACAGCCACAGTACCGTAGCATGAGTGGAAGAGCTCAGAGCAGAGCTCGTATTAATCAGATTCACAGCTTGATAATTACGGTGTTTTGTCAGACACCGGAAGTCGTATTAGAGCGCCGTATCGCAGTTAACTCTGTTAACGCTGTTTTGTAAAAGCTGCTTTTGTGATGAACTAAAGAAGAGAAAGCAGCGCACTCTGACCCTACGTGCTGCCAGAGCAACTGCGCAGATACGCTGCAGGCGACACTGCGCAAACCGGACCACCGTAAAAACGTTGTTGTGCTTCCGTCGCTTTAGCTGTACACGAGAACAGGAGCACCTACCTCTGCTCTGCTGAGCGCGGACATTGCAGCTGTCTGTGGACTCGGCGCAGACCGTCGCTTGCTTTCACTTTCAGCCTTTGTTCATCACGTGATCAAACTCGAAACAACTTTTTTTAACCTTGATTTTTTTCAGAACTTTATTTGAAATTGTAACGTGAACAGTCAGTCATTCCAGTTCAGTTTGTACAGTAGAGATACAGGACAAATCAGCGTAACAATAAGCAGTACACTAAAAATAAGAAGGGTAAATAAATAAAGGGAAAAAGAGGGATGTGACAGACTTCGTAATAGCTTTGTACTTGAATGTATCTGTGACAGCTCGTTTGTTGAAAAATTCAGAATGAATTTCAATCAATGATAAATCTTTTTTATTTGAAGTTGATTTAAGAGAGTTTAAGTAATATTCCATTTCAATCAAAAACAAATGGGTTGAGTTTTGAAATTTACATTCATGTGTGTGGAATTTCCCTAGTAAGATATAAAGATAATGGTACACTAACCTTTTTCCTTTGGTTTCAAAATAAGTGATAATGTCCTTCCCTTCAATTTCGACTTTGTACGTTGTTTTGCACAGTATAGAATTTCAAGTTCTCTCCAAAATGTAGCACTATATGAACAGATGAGTTACACTTTCAGGTTTAGTTTTACAAAAGGTACATTTTCTATCAGTGTCACAGAATCTTGAAATGTTGTGTATATGTTATGTTGTATATGTTGTAAAATGTTATGTAGTATTTACCTGTTGTAAATGTAATTCTCTTATTTTGTTTGTGATACAAAATCTAAAAGGAATAAGCCTCGCCTTATCCCAGTTGATATTTTCAAAAATAGCATTCCAAAAAAACTTCCTTCTTGGAGTTATTTTCTTCGCCTTACACAAACATTCTCTAATATGTGTATTGGTGCATTTCTTGCTTAAGAGATCAATACCATTTATATAAAGAGTGTTAACGGATGCATGTAGTGTGTTCTGTTTTTTGTAGCTTTTCATCAATCAGTCCGCTGGGAACGGACTTTATTACTGAGCTAAAATCTTTAAATTTGATAGGAATGTTTTTCTGTAATAAAGTCATTGTAACTAAGTAGCTGGCCTTCAGAGTCAAATAAGTCTTTTAAATAGATTATATTTTTATCAATCCAATTCTGCAAATAAAGCGATTTGTTCCTTTTAGTGATGCATTCGTTATTCCAGATAATAAATCTATGTGGAGAAAAGTTATGTGAACAACATCGTTTCCAAGCTGTTTTTAACTGGTAACTTTGATATACTGTAATTACAAGACAATAAGAACTGTAGACCTCCAACATTCCTAAAAATGTTGTGGAATGAAATGCCATAATGATCCAGGAGATTTTAAGCATTCTTTTAGCCATTTCACCTTTAATGTACAGTTCAGGTCCATGAAATCCAGAAGGTCAAAATCACCTTTATCTTTAGGTCCACAAAGCAATAATTTTTCAGATGATGGTGCTTATTCTTCCATACAAAGTTAACAAAATATTTTTACACATGGAATCATACACATTAACGGAAAGGCCTGGATACACAAATCTGGAAACACTTCCTACCAAAAATTGATAGGTCTCTTTGGAGCCATAAGTTCAACATAGTTTGAGCTTTTTCCATCCTGGGAGAGAAATTGAGTTGTTGACGTGTCATTCTTACAGACATGAATACCAAGGTATCTAACACAGTTTTTGACAGGAATATCGTATAAAGATTTGACATTTGATTGGTACAAAAATAAAATTTCACATTTAGATTTATTTAGTTTTAATCCAGAGGCAGTTGAGAATCTGTCTATTAATGAAATAGTCTTTTCAATCTGATCTTTGTTTTTTAAGAATAGCGTGGTGTCATCTGCTAGTTGAGTCAGTCTGATTTACCCATAACAGATAAACCTTTAATTACTGGGCTATTCAAAACATGTAATGAAAGTAGTTCAGCCACAAAAATAAAAAGGGTGAAATTGGGCACCCCTGGCGAACAGATCTCATGACTGGAAACCTTAGTAGTATTTGGATATAGTATAACACAACTGTCAATATTTTTATAAAACATTTTGATAGTTGACACAAAGTTTGGACCAAAACCAAAGGTTTTGAGTGCTTTAAATAAGAAATAATGTTCTACCGTATCGAAAGCTTTATAAAAATCAAGAAAAACAATAAGGGAACCATTATTTATATTGTCAGGGTAGTGTAATAGGTCAAAAATAAGCCTTATGGTTGAACTGATATGGTTGGTCATAAATCCGGTTTGCGTTTCAGCTATGATCTCATCAAGATTTTTTTTTTAAAATCTTTTGGCATAGACCAATGAGATGATCTTAAAATCTATGTTCAAAAGCGTGATACGCCTCCAATTTTCTATAATAAGATCTTTATCAGGTTTGGGAATTAAAGTTATAATACCCTGCTTCATGCTTGTGGACATTTCTTTTCTATCACGGCATTCCTTAAATAATTCTAATAAAGGATCAGCAATGATATCCCAGAACTGTAAATAAAATTCCACTGATAAACCATCTTTGCCTGGAGATTTGCCCTTTTTCATTGATCAAATTGCCCCTGAAATTTCTGATTTTGTTATGGGACGTTCACAATTAGTTTTAAAGTTTTCTGAGATAGTTGGTGCAAAATTTTTAACTGACTCGATAAATCTATCGCAATCATTACAATTTGATTTGTATATATCATTGTAGAATGAACCAACATGTTTTGAGATATCTAAATGATTAGTGGGTATGTTATTATCAATCTTAAGAGCAGATATATTGTTTCTTCTTTGGTTTCGTTTCTCAAGAGCACAAAAGTAAC